AAAAGTCATTTTAACACATAGACAAGTTATTCATCCTTGGAGGTTTGATGGGAGAGAAAACCAAGTAGTAGTACCTTTAATGTTCAGTTGAATATTCTACTTTTTAGCTACCTTCCCTCAGTTTTCATTTTTGCTTTTGTTTTAGAGCAGCATATGCTACTTTAGGGCTACTGATTGCATGTGAAAAGAATTTTCTGAGGCGGAATCTCAACTGAAGAGTTTCCTTGTTTTATTAGTTAGTTATTAGATAGTTATGCAGTTATGCTCAGAATGATCAATGGCAAATGTGGCTACCAAAAGCCACAGTGGCTAGACACCATCAACGCCGACACCAGTCAGAGCATGAAACAACTGAAAGAAGCCATACAAGATCAGAAAATGTGGAGTTAGCCCACATAAATCAGACTCAGACATAATTAAAAAATAGATATCATATCAATTAGTATATTTGTTTTTCCAAACTGGTATTTTAATTTTTGACCATTTATAATTTAAACATTTTGAGAACTTTTTGAAAGGCTGGTAAAACACCATGCCAAGTAGAGCTTTATAGGCCATCACCAGCATCTTAAATTGAACCCAGAAGCAAATTGATAGCTAATGCAGCTCGCAGAGTAGATTGAAGTGTGCACATAAATACTAGCACCACATTTTGCACCCCTGAAGCTTCCAGTTGTTCTTCAAAGGTAACCTGATGCAGAATGTATTACAGTTATCCAACAGGGGGTGACCAGGGCATGAAGGGCCAAGTGTAGGGCCTCCTGGTCCAGGAATGGGCATAGCTAGTGCAGAATGGTATCCCGCCATGGGAAGGGAATGGGACTAGAACAGGGCTTTTCAACCTTTTCACCCATTGTGCCACTTTTAGGATAAGGCAACATACGAGTACCACCAGTCGCCTAGCAAGGTGTCAAAAACTTGATGACCAAAAAAAAAAAAAAGGAACAAAGTGATAAAGTACAGGCAGTCCTCGACTTACAACAGTTCACTTAGTGACTGTTCGAAGTTACAACGGCACTGAAAAAAGTGACTTATGACAATTTTTGACACTTATGACTGTTGCAGCATCCCCAGGGTCATGTGATGTACATTCGGATGCTTGGCAGTGTCTGTTGTGAGTCCGGACTCCACTGGACCTGGCAGTGGAGTCCGGGGAATCAGAAGAGGAGGGGCCTGGAGAGCCATCAGAGTCGGAGGAAGGCTCTGATGAGCCCCAGGACTTATAATCTGATAAAGAGCCTGGCCCTTCCAATCGTGCTCAGGCTGAAACTCAGCTGTGTGGGGAAGCTGAGTCAGACTCTGAGGACTCACAGCTAGAAGACATTAGAGACGCTTGCAAATGCAGACTGGTAACAAGAGAACAGAGGGAGGCAATGGGGTGACTCCAAGGGAGGAGGAGAAGGCATTGAGAAGCCACGCCTTGGAGCTGCATAATAAAAAGGGAAGGTGTGGGCGGTGCTGGTTGCTGAAGGCAACCGTTTGCAAAGGACTCAAGTTTCATGGAATCCTGTTTTGTTTGCCTTGCTTGTGAACAATTCTCCGTTTGAATCCTGTTTTGTTTGCCTTGGATAATTCTGTTTACATCGTGTTTTGTTTGCCTTTGCTTTTGGGATATTTTGCAGGTCTGTACCTAACTAATAAAAGAGGTTTGTTTTCCCTGCATTTCCAGCCTACTTGTTAAAAGAGGGATTTGTCCTTGTGAATTAATAAGGACTCACATAGGCTGGGACACTTTTTGACAAGCGAAGTCAATGGCGGGGGGGGGGGGGAGTGCCAATTCATCACTCAGGTTGCAGGGCACCTGTGGGGGGTGCGGGCAGAGCTGTGGGGGGGATCTTTCCCTCCCTCATTGTCCCTTCCTTCCCTCCCTCCCATTATCCCTTCCTTCCTTCTTTGTCCCTTCCTTCCTTCCCTCCCTCCCTCATTGTCCCTTCCTTCTCTCCCTCCCCCCTCCCCCGTGCCCAGGAAGGAACAAGGGGAGGCTGCCAGCGTGGCTGGTGGCGGTGCTGCCGGTGGCCATGGCTTGAAAGGCCACTGTAAATTGCTGGACAAGAGCCGCACAGCGTTAAGAGCAGTGGCAGGACGACATTTGTAATGAGGGAGAAAACCAGGCATCCCCTGAAGGAGATCAGCAAATGGCCATCGCCCTCTTCACACACCCGTGGACTCCGGGGGAGGGGACACTGCGAGTGGCATGAGTCCACGTTACCTGCACTACTCTGCGCAGACCCCAGCCTGGTTTTGGCAGGCAGTGGTGCATTCTCACCACCAAACGGAGTGGCCAGGCAAGGCAAACCAGTGACATGCCGAACCTGCCTGTGCACGTGCATAGGCTGAGGAGAGCACATGCGCCTGCCTCTGCGCGCGCACAGGCAGGTTCGACATGTCGCAGCTTCACCTCGCCCGGCCACTCCGTGGTTCACCTTGCTTGGCTCAGCCGCTCTGTGCGGTGAGGAGGGAGGGAAGGACTCTCATGCCACGACCCTTCCCCAGCTGCGTTTTTTGCCTCTTTGTTGCTGCCACTCGTGTGTGCACCTGGCCTGTTTTTTTGTCCTCTCCTCTCACCCCTCCTCCTGCTGCTCCTTTTACCTTCGGTGCAGCTCCAGCTGACCCCCCTCCTCCCAAGTCTTTTTTCCTCTCCCTCTCCCCCCCAAACTGCTTCCTTTTATATCCCTTCCTGTCTCCGCCCCATCCCCCTCCTTTCTCTTCCGGGGGTGCCAATCCTGGGGCTTTTGCCTTGCTCCTGAAGACTCGCTCACGGCAAGTCCTGTGCTGCGCCGCTTTGGCTCGTTCCCTCCGCTACCCTGGGCTGGGCAGGGCTGCGTACCAGCTGCCAATGTACCACAGCGATACACATACCACCAGTTGAAAAGCCCTAGACTAGAAGACTTCCCAGCCCCCTTCCAACCCTATTATGTTATGTTCTATGACAAGAGCATTAAGCTGTGCAAAGGCCATGATTGTCTCCTACTCTCTGAGCAAGTCATGAATTCAGAAGGACCCCTAGATTGCATACCAGGTCTATCTGGGGCAGTGCCACCTCTTCCAGAATGAAAGATAGTAAAGTTTTGCATCCTGGTGGCCCCAAAGCTGCTCAAGTCTTGCCAAGGTATGAGCATGATTACTACAGGTAGTCCTCAATTTACAACAATTAAGCCAAAATTCTGCTGCCAAGCAAGACAGTTGAGTCATGCCCCATTTTACGACCTTTCTTGCCAGTTAAGTGAATCACTGCAGTTAAGTTAGTAACATGTTTGGTAATTTGGCCTCCCTATTGACTTTGCTCATCAGAAGGTCACAAAAGGTGAACACGTGACCCTGGGATAGTGCAACCTCATAAATACATGCCAGTTGCCAAGCATCCCAATTTTGATCACATGATCACAGGGATGCTGCAGTGGCAGTGTGAAAAATAGTCACTTTTTTCAGTGCCCTTATAACTTTGAATAGTCACTAAACAAATGGCTGTAAGTCAAGGACCACCTGCATTACATGTATAAAGTAGTCCTTGAGTTATGACCGTAATTGTGCCCTGCAACTTTTTGCAAGTCATGATGCATGTAAAGCGAGTTACCAAGCGACTGGACCCAATTTCACATCTTTTGTAGCAGTTATGCAAATGCTGTGGTCATTAGGCAAACCCATTGTTCACTATGAAGCTGTTTTTCTGGAAAATGGAAGAATATACAGGTTTCCAGCAAAACTGCCTTAAATTGCAGTCATGTGACCATAGGCATGCTGCAAACAGCAGTAAATGCAGGCAGTAGCATAGTGCTGCAAATGTGGTCATGTTACTGATGGTGGCTGTGGTGACATTACAACCGTCAAATAAACATGTTAAAAAAGTATAAAATTTTAAAAATTGGGAGAAAAAAAGACAAGCAATATTGAACAATTGTATTAGTAACCTTGGGGATGTTGAACCACAGCTCCCATCATCCCCAATGTCGGTGATGAGGACTGCAATTCCTTTATCCCTGAGGAGGGTGGATATCTAAGCTTTGTAACCCTCGGAGAAGCATTTGTGCAAGACAGAAGCCACCACTTAATCAGCCGGCTTGGAGGATCGCTATTATGTACATGACATGTAATCGCTGGTGCCAGTTCTTTAGCTGGTGTCAGCCTTCATTTGCATCGAGATCCTCCCAAGACCTAGAATGTCGTAACGGGCGTATTACATACGCGGATCCAGCCGTGGGGCCTTTCGCCTTTTACAATTGACCGATGGAAATTTTGTAACTCTTAGGAGATTTTATCAGCGCTCGGAGACCCGAGGTGCGATAGCGGCACTCTAAAAATGCTGTTACACATGTTACTACAGAACATCTGGATATTCTTATGCCAACCGCTTCCTCCGTTAACAAATTGGATTTGTTTTTAAAGCTTGCCTTAACTCACTCGCTTAATGACTCGAGTTCGGGCTTTTGCTTACACCGTTTTCACCGCCCCGCATCGGCTAGGGACATTCCGGAGATTTTGAAGGCGTTGCCCGTTTCTTAACCTCTCGAGCCCGGCACAGGCAGTGCGCCTTTTGGGTTACCGTTTCCTACCTCCATCGCTTTAAACCTTTTAACTTGCCCTCAAGGGATGTTAAATGGCGCACGTCCGAGGCCTTACAGGGTTGTTCCCGCGCTCAATTCGACGGGCGCGGCGGGCGCCAGTGGCCGAGTAAACGAACAAGCGCCGCCGGTGCGACCCGCTCAGAGGACGGCTACCAGCCCCCCCCCCGGAGCTCCTCATAGGACCCAGAACATTTGCCCAACAAACCCGCTCCGGAGCCCCAGCAGCCTCCCTCCCACCCTGTTCCGTTCGGCCGGCCAGCCCGCCGCGGAGCCCAAACCACGCGGCCTCACCTGCGGACCGCGAAGAGCGCCATTTTAGTCGGCGGCGCGTCCCGATGAGGTCAGCAAGGCGCTCAGGGCCCGGCCCCTCTGCGCGCGCGCGCGAGTAAAGACACAGCCAGAGCGACTGTTCGGAATTCTTTATTGCCCCCCCCCCCGCCCCGCTCCGCTCCCCCGGGCGGCCGCGACGGCGCCGCTACGCGAAGGTGGAGCCGTTCCATCCCACGTTGGCCGGGGCCATGTCGTAGAAGTTGATGTAGACCCTGCGGAGAGGGGGGGGGGGAGAAGCGGGATCGAGTGAGAGAGAGGGAGAGACGGAGGGAGACCCGCCCACCGCCCCGCCCCTTACCTGTCGGCGGGCACGCGCAGGCGCTTGGCCAGGAGCGCGCTCAGCATGGCGCTGTAGGCCTTGTTCTGCGGCGCGCTGATTTTGCCGATGCTGTGGAGGCTGCAGATGGCGCAGGGCGCGCTGGAGCCCCCGAAGGACATCACCTGGTCCGGGTTCACCTGCACGGAGACGTACTGGGGAGGAGGAGAGAGAGAGAGATGGAGGGAGGGAGGGAGGGGGGCGCTCATCCGGCGCCCAGAGCCCCCACGTGCCCCGCCCGCCCCTCACCTGCGCCGGCTTGCCCGTGGCCTTGGCCAGCTCCTCGGTGAGCTCGGCCAGCAGCCCCTCGGGCAGCGCGTCCCGCGGGACGTTGGTGGAGACCACGAAAGCCGGCATGGCTGCTGGAGTCGACTGGAGGAAGGAGCGGCGGTGCTGCTGATGCTGGCCACGCCCCCAGGGGTCCTCGCTCCCGCTGCTCCCCGCTCAGCCCCTCCTGCGATGGGCGGGGCTGCGCCCTCCGCGCTGCCTTCTCGCCAGGACGGCCCGCCCGCTGCCCCTCAGCGCCCTCGCCAGGCGGGAAGAGGAAGGGCAGTGAGGCGGAGGAAAGGGGGGAGCGCGGGAGGCGGCCCTGAGGGAAAATTGATAATTTCCACCGACGTCCCCTCCTGAGGGAAATAAAGTCCTTCCAGAAGGGTGGAGAAACCGGCAGGGAAGATGAGAAAGAAGGCAAGACCTGGACCGGAGGAAATGGGAAAGGGAAACTGAAGGAGGAGGAAAGATTTGTTTCTAGTCCCTGTAGTTTCCTTGGCAAAGTTTTTCAGGAGTGGCTTGCCATCGCCGCCTGCCTCGGGCTGAGAGCGGGTGGAAGAAGAATCACGACCCCCGTCCTCAGAAAAGGAAAGAGCAGCCTTTCCTTCCTTCCAGATAGAAACCAAACCAATTAACAAAAGCCTCGGAAGAAAAAGAACCACCCATTGCCGGAGGCTAGGAGAGAGGAAAAGCCTGTCCCTGGCGAGCGGCTAAGAGCGTTCTGCAAGGGGATACATCGTACCTGACAAGCCGCAGGAATGGAGCGAGAAGCGGCGTCCGCGCTTCAGACAAAACAAACAGAATTAAGCTAATAAAAACAAAAGACAACTGAATTTACATTCTCCTCCCCTCCCCAAGGCCAGACTTAACCTCTTTCACCACCAGAGAAAATCTGGCAGGGGCAATCAAAATACCAAAGAGGCATCTCTGCCAGCTGACCGGGAACCCACTGCTATTGTCCCTGAAACCGCATGAGGGAATCCCAAAGGTGCTTTTTCAGGAGGCAACTGGACTTCCTTGTGTTTCTTTTGAAGACGTTTCACTTCTCATCCAAGAAGCTTCTTCAGCTCTGACTGGATGGTGAGGAATGGAAGGATTTATATTGGATGAGAAGCGAAACGTCTTCAAAAGAAACACAAGAAAGTCCAGTTGCCTCCTGAAAAAGCACCTTTGGGACAACCATGACCTGGATTGTTAAGTCCTGGGAATAATGGCGCTTGAGACGAATCATCTCCAACAAGTCTTTATTGTTTGCTCCACTCTCGAACAACCAGAGCAGAGGCACGCAGGCCTCTATTTATACCCTCTGATCCCCGGGCAAGTTCAGCCAATCATGAGACGGGCTTTTCCCGCCTTGCGCATGCGCACAAGGCTGGCACCGCTCAGTCTGGTCCCGGGCAGCTTCTGCAAATGCCCGGGACTCTTGCAACGTCCCGAGCCTGCCTCTTGCAGGCTCAGGACACAACACCCCTTCCCCCTGGATGAAATAAGATTGCGCCCACATGGACGCCATCCTATAGATGGTAATATAATTAATAATGAAATAAAGTTACACAATGTATAAGGCGTGGGACTGTTCCTTTGAACCAGATCCAGTGACCCCCCGACCTTGTTTTATTTAAATACAACCCGCCAGTACATTCAGTCAACTCTTGCTATGTACCTGTTCACCTTACGTAATCGGCTAGGTATTTGGGAGGGCCTCTTGCCCTGAGTGACCTTCTCAGACCTGGAGAGTTTGTATTGTTATCCCCGTTGCCGCTTGCTCTAGGTGAAGTGCCCTGTTGAGCAGCCCGGGCCGTGTTGGTCGTTAAACCTGGTTGACCAGCCCTCAATGGTGTTATCTAACCCCTGTGAGTTCATTCCCGTGAGTTCATTCCCGTGTTTCCTGAAGGAATGTGGGATTCCTGGCTCGTTTCTGTAGTGCTAGGGTCTAGGGATGCCTCCCTGTTTAGCCCTGATGCGTGAGGACATCCTCCTCTGAGCCCTTTCAGCAAGGGACGTGTTCCCCCTTTGTATTGCCTGCTCTCTTGCATGTTGTGAGTTGTGAGTACGCTCCCAGGTATTCTCCGTGTCTGGAGTATTGCTTGATAGGGGTGGATAATTAGTCTGCCACCGGTGGGACTGCCAGGCTGGAGTGTGTGTGGGGGTGTCTATGTACTCCCTTTCCCAAGAACTGCTACCAGAAGCACCTGTGGAAGTTGGGTGTTGAGTACCCGTTTCCCTTCCCACAGCCAACGTAGGCTGTTGATTTTGAATCCCAGAATGCATTTCCCATTCCTCCTCCCCCCCAGAGGAGACTGAGAAGGAACTATAGGCGTGTCCCGCCTCACACGTAATTGATCGATGTGGCGGCGAAGTACGCGGCCGTCTGGCAGGGACACCTCGTAAGACAGAGGCCCCGAGACTTTACAGACCACAGCCGGTACCCAAAGGTGGCCAGGCCCGTAATTCCTGGCCCAGACAGGATCACCTTCACGAAGGACCCGTGGTGGGCGTGGCTGAGACACCTGAGCAGCAACACGTTCCGGATGCAGCCTGTCCAATTTAGTCACGAGCCGACGACCCCAGCGGAGTTCGGCCAGGCACTTACCCGTGGCAGTGCACGGAGTAGTACAATGTGCCAAAAGAAAGTCAGCCAACCTGTGATGCCAGTTGCCGTAAGTCAGCTTCTTGAGGGCGTCCTTGGTGACGCGGACCATCCGTTCAGCCAGACCGTTGGTGGAAGGATGGAAAGGAGCTGAAGCAGCGTGGC